CCAAAATAGTATCGCGACTCGATCACCTCACCCGCGATAATCACTAATTCGCGAAAAACACTAAAATGCCCTAGTCGGAATAATACCGCTAGCACAGCGCTGGGACATTCCCCCGCGAATTTTCCAAAAATATTGAAGCATTTGTCTTCACTAGCGCATGCTAATTCATATATATGCCTGGAAAAATTTTTCCCGCATAAACTCTGCGCTAGTGATAGACAAATTTCAATTACTTTTTTCAAACTCATTATTTGAAATTTAATAGTACACTTGCGTCGAATACGTGAGTACGCGAGAGACGAAATTCGAAAAAATGTAACTAACTTAACTCCGAGAGCCGTATTTATACGTTTTTATCAAGATGGGGAATTTTCAGGTAACTTTTCTCGATTTTATTTTATCTTTTTTTCTCATACCCGAGTATTCTTACCCTTGTTTTATATATATGTTAATATTTACTTAGATATAGAAAATATTTAATTTAGGGCAATATTTACTTAATTACAAAAAGTTTATGGAAATCAAGATGAGGAATTTTTAGTTATCTTTTCTCTATTTTATTTTATCTTTTTTATCTTTTTTCTCATGCCCGAGTATTCTTACCCTTGTTTTATATATAAATATATATATATATATGGTAATATTTACTTATTGTTAGATACAGAAAATATTTAATCTAGGGCGATATTTACTTAGCTACAAAAAGTTTATGGAAATCAAGATGAGAAATTTTCGGGTATCTTTTCTCGATAGCGGTAGGAATTTTATATTTTCTCTGTAGTCAGATTTAAAAATTATATCATTTATATTGTTTAAAAAATTCCCCTTCCACATTAAAAATTATATCGTTTATATTGTTTAAAAAATTCCTCTCCCACATAATTTTTATTATACTACACATGCATTTTCTCCCTATTACTTTATTGTTTAAAAATTCCCCTTCCGCATTAAAAATTATATCATTTATATTGTTTAAAAATTCCCCTTCCTCATAATTTTTATTTATCTGCGCATGCCTTTTCTCCCTACCACTTCTATTTTATCTTCTTATAAATTTTCTTGAAAATCTTCGCTCACTCGTCTTTCATCGTCCGGACTTTCAAGTTCGTTAGTAAAAAGATAGTTAGTAAAAAGTTCTCGATTTTTCGATTTTTCCGCGTCTTTGATTATTAAATCTTTGATTTTCTACGCGGTAGCAACTACCATGAACAATCTTAAGAAAATCGAGCAACAACCGCGCATGTTGCTGTCAACAACATACGGATTGAATTCATCCTACACGAAGAAAATTCAAGTGGGTCTTATGACGGAAGACAACGTCGAACTGGATTTTCTACCTGCTGTTAAATTAACATCTCACGGAGCTGCAGGGATTTGCTTCGACATGGAATCGTGGCAAAAATTTCAAGAAAACATGGAAACGATGTCGAGCTACTTAAATGGTGATAAAATTAATTTGAGCTCGATCATCTTTAACAAGATAATTATAAATTTCACTACCGCATATGGTGCTAGAGCCATACTAATAACATATCGTGAAAACGAACAAGAAGATCTTTCTTCCGAAACTGCGGAGGATACGAACGAAAACGGACCGAAGGCGAAGAAACGTAAAACTTACAACATTGCGATAGTCATGCAGAGAACGACTTTTCAAGGTGTAGAAAATATAGTTAATTGTGTGAACGCTAATTTAAATCGTCTAAATTTTATTTCAACTAATGTCAACGAATGTGCTCGATATTTAATTAACGAAATACAGTTAAATCTTCCTGTCAACGGTAGCATTAATAGCAGTATCGTGAAACTCACGATCAGAGGTAACAGTAAGGAAATAGAACGTAATGTACGCACCCAACTGAAAGATTTAACATTTCTCGATGTATACTTCGAGATAACATTTTTAGAAATAATTTCACTTTATTTCGAACAAATTGTATATGCAATTATATCAAAACGTAAATTTTAATAATTATTCGACGAATATTTTTTTGAAATGATTGTGAATAATTTTGTTCTGTAAAATATTTTAAATATAAATCATATTTGTACTTTTAAAACCATTGTTCAATTTTCTTTCACTTACTCTTTCCAGAAATTTCCTCCACATGCATGTTCCTGTTTACCTTCATTAAGCAGCGAGTTATTTTAAAATAAAATTTTATCTGACATCTTTCTAATCTACGACGATGTATTATTATTTTTTATCGTGACGCGAGTCGGAATGCTCGCCTGTACAAATATTTGCGTGTTCTTTTTTATTACCCTACGCCATTGTCAGCTACTACCTGCCACCGGTCGACCGCACGACGCTTTTCTTGGCCAAAATGTTTTTACCCCACCCCGTCTAATATCGACCATTTGATTCGACGAGCTATCCTTGCCATACGTATACCCGAACTGTTTTTACCCCACCCCCGTCCAATATCGACCATTTGATTCGACGAGCTATCCTTGCCATACGTATACCCGAACCCCCATGCCGTACTCTACGCAACTTTAGCTTAAATACCACATCTAATCCTTAGACTAGTAAGATCTCGTTTAGCTCAACATACTAGGACCCTGCTCGGAAACACGGAGGTCCCGGGTTCAAATCCAGAGAAAATCAGAAAAAATAAAAAATAAAAATTCTCATCCCCACCTTTCGGGGCCAGTCGCCATTTTTTTTTCCCCCAACACCCTTTCCCCCTAACACCCACACTCGGAAAAGCCAGACGCCGGTTGGGGGGGAAAGATAAGATAAGACCCGGCGCCAGACGGGTCGGTGGTGGGGGTTTGTTTTGACGGGCCATACCTGCCATTATACTACTTCTGTGTCAACTTTTTCTTTTTCGAAATCCTGCAACTTTTATCTAAATTTAATAGAAAATGTATAAAAAATGCTCGACATTAGTACACACACACACACACACACACATATGGGTAAATTTATATAAATAGGGTGCTTTAGGAGGAATGATCAGGATTCTAGGATATGATTGTACACATCATTTTAAGCAAAGAAGTTTAGATAAACATGTTTAATAATTGTTCTATTCCGGTCATAAAAATATACAAAAATGAATGATATAATCTCTAAAAACTCACCTTTAAAAAAAGGTAAAAAAAGGCGACCAGTTAAGGGCACGCCATTAACAAAAATTATCCATTGCAAACCCATGTAGAATCCTATCCTATTGCAAACCCATGTAGAATCCTATAAAAAATTAATCATTGCAAACCCATGTAGAATCCTAGGCAAAATTAACCATTGCAAACTCATGTAGAATTGTCTTAAAAATGATCCATTGCAAACTTATGTAGAATCCTACATTGCAAACCCATGTACAATAGAATTGTATGAAAAATTATCGATTATAAATTCATGTACAATCGTAACAAAAGTAATGAAATAAAAAAAAATTGCGCCAAGTGAAAGTAGAAACTTGTACCAGTGGAAAATTAAAGTTGCAGACATATATAGAGTCGTATAATGAATCAGTAAAAATTTAAATTTGCAAATGTAGAATCGTACCATAAAAAAACTTATCTTTAAAAAAAAAAGATAAACAAGATGCCAAGTCCATGCGCCATGTAAAAAAGAAATAAAAAAATTTTAGTTAAAAAAACTGGGAGCGCTGCTAAATAATATTCTAACAATATTAAAATTAAATTGTTACTTTTAAACTCATTTCAGTTAAAATATGTTTTGTGTTTAAATTAATTAATGTTACTTTAAGGTGCATTGTAATTTTGAAACTTAGCAGCGCGCCCAGTTTTTTTAACTAAAATTTTTTTATATCTTTTTTACATGGCGCATGGACTTGGCATCTTGTTTATCTTTTTTTTTAAAGATAAGTTTTTTTATGGTACGATTCTACATTTGCAAATTTAAATTTTTACTGATTCATTATACGACTCTATATATGTCTGCAACTTTAATTTTCCACTGGTACAAGTTTCTACTTTCACTTGGCGCAATTTTTTTTTTATTTTATTACTTTTGTTACGATTGTACATGAATTTATAATCGATAATTTTTCATACAATTCTATTGTACATGGGTTTGCAATGTAGGATTCTACATAAGTTTGCAATGGATCATTTTTAATACAATTCTACATGAGTTTGCAATGGTTAATTTTGCCTAGGATTCTACATGGGTTTGCAATGATTAATTTTTATAGGATTCTACATGGGTTTGCAATAGGATAGGATTCTACATGGGTTTGCAATGGATAATTTTTGTTAATGGCGTGCCCTTAACTGGTCGCCTTTTTTACCTTTTTTTAAAGGTGAGTTTTTAGAGATTATATATAAATACTGTACTGACATCGTTTACTCAGCATTGGAACATAAGATTTATGGGATTATTCAGGCCTCAAAGTTAATAACATTGGAATTTAATCCGAACGCAATCGAAACGAATCAAAATTTTACAATAATAGCAGAAATGGGGGGCTATGCATATTCTCTGTGCATTGATTGGATTCGTGGCAGTCTTTATTGGTTAGAATATGATATTGACGATCATATTTACATTATGAAATTCGACTTAATATTACTACAACAAAAAGGCATCAAAGCATACAAAAAAATCGCATTTGCTGCAAAGTCTGATATATTTTTAACAGTATTGCCATATAAGAGGTACGTTAAATTTAATTAATCTAACAAATTGAACAATATATTGTGTCTCTTTTAATTAAAGATTTGTGTTGTTCTATAACTTGCCAATTTAATATGCAGATTTTGTATTGAAGATCCATAAGTAATGGAATCATAAATTTACATAGAAACGTATAAGATATAAATAATCACATATTAGTATGTGATAGATAATTATAATAATGTTTTAATAAAAGTGAGCAATATAAATATTTTTCAGACATTTCTATTAGACAGAACATTCTTCAATAGTGCAAACGGATTTCAATGGTAGAAACAAATTATATATGACAAACAATAAATGCTTCTGCCTCAACACATTTTTAGGATTGCAAATTAAGTACACTATCATGACGATTGATACAACAAATATTGACGAGCCGCTAATATATTGGATAATAAACGATGAATATTTAATCGTAACGGATATTAATGGTTGTAATTGCAAAGTTTTAAGTCTTCGAAATCAATCAATTTATCATTATCGTTATTTATATATTGATAGTAAAAATATTTACTTAATTTCTTATCAAGAAATACATATTTTAAGAAAGGGGAATGCTCTTTTCCAAAGCAAAAAAAATTTATATGAATGTCTTCCAAAAATCCATTTTGGAAAGGGCATTTTCTCTCGTATCGTACCTATTGATAAAACTTTACAATTATATCCCCCGAAGATATGTCTAATACCTACCAAGGATTATCGTGTTGAAGAAGTGCTAATAACTGCAAACAGCATTAAGGTGAACCTTCCGGAGCCGAATCCCAATGACGAATGTAAAAAGTACAATTTTACTTTTATATATAACATCTCTGTGAGTTATTTAAAATGTTTAGACAATGATCTTAACAAATTTGAGAAATTTCATGTTCAAACGTACGAACGGCAGTACGAATTCCAAAATTTGACGCAGTTGACAGAATACACGTTAAAGCTGGCATTGAGCAATTTTTACATCTACAAGATATCGATGGATTTGCAATTCGGCCCAGATGTAAAACTGATAACTACGGGCAAGCTCTATGCACCGGATGATGTAGTAGTTCAAGTTGTAATGCCAAATCTGGCGGTAATTGATTGGATGCCACCGAAAAAATTAGGTTGCGTGGCAGTGAATTATGAGGTGAAAATGGTAAAATATCCAAATAGCACTCAAGAAAATCAAAATTCGTTTCGCTTCATAAAAGTCAATAAACTAGAACGTACGACAAATGACAAGTTTTTCGCGGTAATTTCGTCACTGATACCAAAGCAAAAATACGAGATATACGTGAGTGTGTATCCAATTATTCGCACAGATGTCGTCACTGACAGTGTAATAAAAACAGTCTACATGTCCGAACCAAATAATTTAAGTTTGAATGGGATCGATACAAACAGATTATGAATATCTCGTGGATACCAAGCGTTAATCTGACGATTCCTACTGAATTCCTTATACTAGAATACAAAAATGCTGCGTCACGAAAGAGGATATGGGAAATTGCGAATAATATTAAGGGAAATAATGATAAAATAACATATCACATAGAAAATTTATTGCCGCAAACTAAGTACAAATTTCGTTTGAACTTAAAATATACTGAGTGTAAAGAAGATTTCATATGGCCGTCTGATGGAGAAGAATTTATTTTTGAAACGCTCGGTAAGCAAATGAAGACGTTATGATAACATATGCTTACTTTAAGAATCTTAAAAGTTTTTTTGCATTAAAAATTGAATAACGAAATTTTAAGTAAAATGTCTTAATAATAATTGATAAATATGTGCATAAAGAATTGCCAAATAAAATTAAAAATAAATTAATGAACACTCGACCAAACTGGCATCATTTTATTAATTCACTTTACAACGTTTCAACCATGATTCAGGTCCTCAGCAAGTAATTTGCGAAATGTAGTTTAAATTTTAAGAAACTTACTTCCTTAAATTATAACTACATTTCACAAATCACTTGCTAAGGACTTAAATCATGATTAAAACGTTGTGAAGTAAATTAATAAAATTTTGCCAGTTTGGTCGAGAGAAGAGTGTTATTATTTCATTTTTGAGAAATATGTGTCGACCAACTGGCAATTTATTAATCTTATTACGTTTCAACCTTTCCTTGGTGTCCATTTCAAGTAATGTAGTTCTTAGATATTAAGATAAAATATCTTAAGTAAAAAGTCCAATGAAACGAAGAATTGTACTCTTGTGTAACAAAGGTGATGCAAGAAAGATTCTTAGCGCAACTGGGACAGCTATGCAATATTATCTGCCATTAATATTATGTCTTATTGTAATCATTGTAATATACAATGTTTACTACTTTTATTGTAGTAAGTATATTTCATATAAATTTTGGATTTTTATTATAAATTGTTTAGATTTGGTATATAGATATACGAACATATAAAATTTGAAAAAGTCGGCATTATTTCTTAAAAAAATTAAGATATTGCAATGCGTAGCATTATGTCGTGTATTAAATATTTTTTTATATGACAGCATACAGGCAACGCAAAGAAAGCAACGAAATAGTTTCGCCTCTAATAATGATGAATACGGAATTAGTACCTTTAAATAAAATACCTTTTGGGTGCACTCAACTAAATTTGCTGAACCCTCCTAGATTGCAATTTAATTCAGACGAATTTGCGTTGACAATAATAAAAAAAATCAAATTATCCAAACAAAGTTTCTAGGTAGCGGCGCATTTGGTAATGTAAGTATTAATTTCTTATTACTTAAGTATATTCTTAAATATATTTTTTATTTTTAATCGCCTAAATTCATGGTCAATCATATTTTTAAATAAAAGTAATTGTTAAAATTAAAATTTCTCTGAAAAATTCAAATAGGATAAACATTTTTAGCATACATTTTATCGATTTGTCTGTTAATTATGTAATATTTCACAGGTATATCAAGGAATTATCAAAGATTTTGAAGGATCGGACACAACACCAGTTGCGATAAAAATGCTAAAAAAAGAAGCTTCTTCGAAAGAGAAAAAGGAATTCTTGAAAGAGGCTAAACTTATGAGCCACTTTCGACATGAAAATGTGCTAAGAATATTAGGCATTTGTATGGACACGGATTCACCGTTGCTTATGACGGAATTAATAGAACCTGGTGACTTATTGAATTATTTAAGAAATAATGGAACATTGCAATCGTCAGATTCGCGCGCATTGGGTCTGCAAGACTTGCTTGCCATGTGCGAAGATGTTGCTCGAGGCTGTTGTTACTTAGAAAGACAGCAATTTGTGCATAGAGATCTCGCGTGTCGAAATTGCTTAATATCCGTAAGAAATCATGGAAACCGTATTGTGAAAATCAGCGATTTTGGACTAGCTAGAGATATTTATTCAGATCACTATTACCGTACGGTAAATACAATTATTTGAGAGAGCTAAAACTTTTATTCTATTTTTTTATAATAATACAATTTTAAGCTGATTATAATAGTAAAAGTAAATTATTTTTATTTGTATACCTGTGGAAGAGAAAGGGAAATGAGGGTTAACTATATGCAGATAACGCTTGTTTCTAAATTTCTGGACAAGTTCGATAAAAATGTTTATTGTGCTATATGATTGTGTTTTAGGTAGGAGAACGCATGCTTCCTATTCGCTGGATGGCACCGGAATCTTTAGTGTTTGGAATATTTACTTCAGAAAGCGATGTATGGGCTTTCGGGGTACTAATGTGGGAAATTATGTCATTGGGTGAACATCCTTATCCTGCCAAGAATAATTCCGAAGTTTTAAAGTATGTGCGTGAGGGAGGCAAACTGCCAAAACCTCTCAACTGTCCACCGATGTTGTATCAGTTGATGCTACATTGTTGGAAATCTGTAATCGGTAGACCAAACTTTACAAATTGTCTCAAAAATATCAAAACCTTAAGAAATAACGTAAAAGATTCGATACTTATAGTTAATGCGTTGGATATTATCGGACGTAGTGAGACGAATCAATCGTAATTATTTTTATGTGTATATAGTTTTGTATGGAGCAATGAATTTTACAAATCTAGATAATATCTATTAAGATATATTGCTTATTTACTTTTTTTACATTTTATAATACAGTTAATGTTATATTTAATCATTCTTTTTACTAATATTACAATTCAAGTCATAAACTTTATTTACAATTTGTTGAAATTGTATTTTGTTTATTATGTATATATTTTTTAAATATAAATATGATATTTTAAATCGGCCAATAGAGCCTAAGCGTGAAAAATTAATTCTTCGGAACTGTATCTCTTGGTTTGAGATTACTAAGTTCCATATATAAATTAATATCGAAATTACATATGGAGAAATATGGAAAAATCTAACATCTACTAAAAGGCAAATGAAAAATATAGGATCGAAAGGGTCTGAATAGTTTGTTGGTAAGAGCAGTCGCCCGGAAAGTGAAACACGCGGGTTCGATTCTCGCTTCAGCGACTTTTCGGACCTATATTTTCCTCGCCTATTTCTCCATATGGAAGTTCGCGATTAATTATATGGAACTTAGTAATCTCAAACCAAGAGATACAGTTCCGAAGAATTAATTTCTCGCGCTTAGGTTCTATTGGCCGATTTAAAATATCATATTTATATTATTATTAATATTGAGAGCCGATAAAAATATTTCTTATCTGATATTTTTTTAACTTACAGTTATAGACAATACTGCATCAAGTGGCATTTAAAATGTAATTTATAATTATTATAAAAATAATTTACGAGAATAATGTTATTTACAAATTACATGTCAAAAATGCAAACTGATAATATAAGTTTTCTTTTCAATTATGACTTAATTATCCATACATTGTTTTTTATTTACTATTGATGCATTTATTCATTATTTCCCTTTTGTTTATATTAATAATTTACCATGTACGCATTTTACATAAAGAATTCAGCAATTCGAAAAAAAATTTCTTAGATTTGATTAGTTTTTGGTATTGCACTCCGTTGCAGTTAAAATAAAGAAAGTATTTATATTTACAATCTTTATATGGAGAGAATAAAGGAAATACGGAAAATATATTCAATATTTGTATATAAGGTTCAAATATATAATAGATAAATCTTTACAAAGTAGATAATCATTTATTATATGTATAATTTTTTGAAGCTACTTTAATTTGTCGAATTTTAATTATATTATTTGTCGCACATATAAATTTATACTGTCAGTATTTGTTGCATTTAATTTAAAAATTGCGACAAATATTGTTTCGATGTAGTTAATGCAATAAATAAATTGACAAGTTTAACTTGTAAATATTCGATCAACGTTTTGTATAATGTCAATCTCTAAATAATAGCAAGATAATTTTAATGATTCTGCAAACGTATTGTAAAAGAATAAGTGAATTTACTACATCGGGAAAATAAAATATATTATCTATATTATTCATGATAAATTTTCATGCAACAAATATAAAGAAAAAATCTTTCATTGATGGATAGCTTAGATCTTTCTAAGTAACGTAAACTACATGCAATCGTATTACAAACTTCTAAAAATGTGCGCGTATTATACAAAAAAAATTGTTACGCTTTATATTTTTCCAACAATTTTATAATTTAACGTTGTACCGTAAATAATTCATACTATATTTATACAAATGTAAGGGTGAAAATTTTATCAAAATTGGTCGTGTAGGTTTTACGTTAAATTATTATATTATTGGAAAATATAAAAAGTAAAGAACCCATTTTTTTATGACGCGTACATTTTTAGAAGTTGCAAGACGATTGTACGCATAATCTATGTTACTCAGGAGGATATACACCAGTAAGACATTTATTAATTTCTCAAATTATCCCAAACAATAGAACAAACAAACTTTACCTCTTAATATGTATATTAGTCTAGATATAGATAGAAGTATAGATAAGTAAGTAAGTATAGGACTTTGGCTTGAAATCTACTCGCCTTTTTGCTACGTAAAAATATAAAATTATAAAGCAAATTAGAAAATAAAATAAAGAAAACACATAAAAAACAAAATTTAAATAATAAAAAACATGAAAAATAAAGAAAAATCTTTAAAAAACTAACATATGTAGATTATTAGTTCAAATTTAAAAGTATTAATAGTATAAAAAAATAATTTCGCAACTCTAAATAAATAAAAACATAAAAGCTTTAACATACTAAAAACGAAAGTATATTAAAAATAAATAAGATATAAGAGCGAAACGCGGATGACGTTAATTACACCGAGAATTAATTTTTTGCTGTAACTAATTAATGTGCGCCAACACAAATATTTTCTTAGCATACTATTAAGATTTATTTCAGGAAATGTATCTCAATCCGAAATTACTACACGGAAAAAAAGAATTAGCTACTATTGCTAAATTTTAGCTGTCCATATATAACAACCTGAATTTTAGTTATCGTGCCTAAATTTTAGCTATGGTAACTAATATTTTTTAACCATAGTTTAACGCGAAGAATATTATAACTAAAAAATATTAATTGTCATAGCTAAAATTTAAGCATGATAACTAAATTTTATGTGTAATATATGGACAGTTAAAATTTAGCTATGATAGCTAATTTTTTTTCCGTGTAAATTTGCTTATTTCTTCCTAACCCTTTTGTAGAAAAAAAGACGAGAATAATATTGGTCCGCAAGTCGTTGAATCAAAAACTGAATCCGAGTTTTTCAAATTTAAATTTGAATAATTGTTATTTACTCATCCTTATAAATCCGCAACTACATACCGAGTGCGCGGAGCACGTAAGAAACAACTCAGTGAGAAATTCGTCGAATTGATGACGATTCGATCAATCATTTCTCATTGGGATGCGTTAGCTAACAATTTATAATCTATACGAATGATCAGTGCTGGATCGAGATATTTTCTCATCCGAGGCATTATTAGTAATTGACGCCTCCTTTCTTTACATACGCACAAACGCATGTCAAAATAACATACGCTTGGTAGGTACTTGAACTGCTACATGTTAATATCATTTTCGCATTTTTATAAAAAAACTTTTTTTAAAAAAATTGTTCAATTTATTGTTCATTTTTATGCCCTCTTATGTCTTTCATCCGAAACGAGTGCTTAGCTCGCTCTAGATCCGACTCTGCGAGAAACATTGAAGGGATATTGATTTGATTAATATATTTAAATCATTGTGAGAAGATTCTATGGTATTTAATAGCGGTTGGTCACCAGTCAGGAATGAAAGCCAATCGAGTGCAAACATCTATAAGAGGAGAAAACTTACTATGTTAAAAACAATAAAAATATTATGTGTTTTACTAAAAGTATTTATGCTAATGAGGACGGCTCTCACGTCCTCTTCGAAGGATCAGGAAGATTGTACAACTCAGGTCAGTTTCCCGAAAATTCATTTTTTGATACATTCTGATCTACACTTAAAGTGTGCTTTACACGATGCTGCTTTTATTCACTTTGAGTAAATTTTTTAATTTGTCAGCGAATCCGCTGATAAAAACTTTTTTCTAGATTCTCGTTTTTTATTCGCTAGCGTCTAAAATTGTGAAATCGCGGCGTGTAAAGGGTGCATTACACGATGCTGCTTTTATTCACTTTGAGCCAGCTTCTTAATTCGCTGATAAAAACTTTTTCACATTTTTTATTCGCTAGCGTCTAAAATTTTGAAGTCGCGGCGTCTAATGTTTGCTGCGTCTGGCTGCGCTAAAGTGGAACATATAAAGAACAATAGCTGTGTATATTATTGGCCTTGAAACTGTTTGATTGAGAACGTAATTTATTGTGCCCATCTTCCATTTCAACATTTAGTAGTTTTCTATGCATTCAATTTATTCTAAAAAATTCTAATTTTCGATATTGATTACTTTAAATGATATATTACTTACTTAAAAATTTTATACAAAAATTAATAAATATAAATATCTAAAAAAAAATAAATTAATACAATTGTCGCTCGTATATTGAAAACAAAGTGATAAATATAAGGCCAACTTATCGAGCTGAATATTCGAGATGTTCAGTCAACTACCATTTATTACATGTATAAATTATAAAACTACAGTCATTATATTAAAACTAACGCAAATTATAATCATTCTATAAACGTTTCGACCGCACGCGGTCTTCTTCAGTATAATTATTGAAATATAAATTCTTACAATTCACATAATATCGAAATTTAATTATAGTTATTTAGAATCAAGAGTTTTTGAGCAATTAACGCGTGTTTCAATCCGTCCTGTCCAACAATGTTCGCCTCGATATGATCCCTGATTTTGTTCAGATCTCGGATAGTTTCATCGTTAATATGCGAGAAATTAACCCGTTCCGTAGGCGCTATCATCGTTCTTCTTGACAATTTTGCTACTTATTAACAGTTATTAAGGATGACACATAACAAACCAACAATACAGAAAGACAGCTCATTTTAAACTCTCAAAAAAAAGTATTTAAATCTAAAAAAAAGTATTTAAAAAAGCATTAAAAGGTATTAAAAGTATATATAAAAAATATTTAAAAAAGTATATTTAAAAAAAGTTTTAGAAATAACGTAGAAGATTCGATACTTATAATAAGTTCGTTGGATATTTTTGGACATGGAGAGACCAATCAACCGTAATTCTTTTTGTGTGTATATATTTTTGTATAGAGTAATGAATTTTTGCGATTTTAGATAATATCTATTAAGAAATATTGCTTTTATTTACTTTTACTCACATTTTATAATACAGTTAACGTTACATTTAATCATTTTTTTACTAATATTACAATTCAAGTTATAACCTTATTTACAATATGTAGAAATTTTATTATATTTAATATATTTTCTAACTCACAGTTATATATATATATATATATATATACAATATTGCAATCAGGTGGCATTTAAAATATAATTTGTAATTATTATAATTAATTTACGAAAAAAATGTTTTTTACAAATTACATGTCAGAGATGTATACTGATAATATAAATTTTCTTTTCAATTATGACTTAATTATCTATACATTATTTTTTCTTAACGATTGATGCATTTATTCATTATTTCTTTTTTGTTTATATTAATAATTTACCATGTGCGCATTTTACATATAGAATTCAGCAATTCGACTAAATTTCTTAGATTTGATTAGTTTTTGGTATTACACTCTGTTGCAGTTAAAATAAAGAAAGTATTTATATTTACAATCTTTATACGGAGAAAATAAAGGAAATACGGAAAATATATTCAATATTTGTATATAAGGTTCGAATATAGATAAATTTTTACAAAGTAGATAATCATTTATTATATGTATAATTTTTTGAAGCTACTTTAATTTGTCAAATTTAAATTAAAAATTGCGACAAATATTGTTTCGATGTAGTTAATGCAATAAATAAATTGACAAGTATAACTTGTAAATATTCGATCAACGTTTTGTATATTGTCAATCTTTAAATAATAGTAAGATAATTTTAATGATACTGCAAACGTATTGTAAAAAGATAAGTAAGTTTACTACATCGGGAAAATAAAATGTATTATCTATATTATTCATGATAAATTTTCATGCAACAAATATAAAGAAAAAATCTTTCACTGGTGGATAGCTTAGATCTTTCTGAGTAACGTAGGCTACATGCAATCGTATTGCAAACTTCTAAAAATGTGCGCGTATTATACAAAAAAAATTGTTACGCTTTATATTTTTCTAACAATTTTATAATTTAACGTTGTACCGTAAATAATTCATACTATATTCATACAAATGTAATGGTGAAGATTTTATCAAAATTGGTCGTGTAGGTTTTACGTTAAATTATTATATTATTGGAAAATATATAACGTAAAGAACCCATTTTTTTATGACGCGTACATTTTTAGAAGTTGCAAGACAATTGTACGCATAGCTATGTTACTCAGGAGGATATACACCAGTAAGACATTTATTAATTTCTCAAATTATCCCAAACAATAAAACAAACAAACTTTACTTCTTTATATGTATATTAGTCTAGATATAGATAGAAGTATAGATAAGTAAGTAAGTATAAGACTTTGGCTTGAAATCTACTCGCCCCCTTGCCACGTAAAAATATAAAATTATAAAGCAAATCATAAAATAAAATAAAGAAAACACATAAAAAACAAAATAACAATTACCATACAAAATCAACTAAACTCTAACAGTGCTTAAGCTCGTATGTAAACAAACACAATGATAAATTATTAAATATTATTAGGCCCTGTGTAACGAGCACAAAAAATTTTTCGACCTGTATTAGGTCTTCTTCAGTGCGCAGTAATCGTTATGATAATTAAATAAATATAAAAATAAAAATTCTAATACTAAGTCGCTATATAATGTCAAGTAAATTAAAAACTGATGTCAAGATTAAAAGGCAAAATACATTGACATTAAATTTAAATCATCAAGCATAGCTCGACACGAACAGTCCACACTGCAAACTCCGCACCACAGTGCAAAATCATATAACTAATCCGGTTAATCTATATTATTTTAAAATTATTATTAATAACTCAGAGTGGCGCTTCGAAATTGCTCTAAACCAACCGCTCTTCGTTGGTCGGCGAAAGGCTGTTAGTCCGGCAATGAACTTGTCCATCCTCCCCAAGTTTTTTAAGATGTTATGAACTGAATTTATAAAATTTTTTAAAGTATAAAGTTAAAAATTGACTTATGTATATGTAAAAAATTAAGAATTAAAAATTAAAAAATTAACTAATTGTTGCTTACAGTTGTGTCCGAATAAAGAAATATGACCATGACTCCAATTTTTGCTGAATGTATTACTTGACTGATGTCGCGTCGTTTAAAAAGTTAAATATATAGGTGTCAAGTCAAAAAAAACATAAATATTATAATAAGTCTAACGATTTCCTATTTCTTTTAGAATGTCAAAATAAGCGTTGTTGAGCAATTCAGTGTCTGTATTATTATTTATACCAAGTTTTTGTTCTTTTATGTGTATCATCTCCGAGATAAGTCTTTTGTGATAGTTAAATTCAATATCAAGTATTTTGACGTTATTCCAATCAAAAGCATGCTTTTTATCGATAATATGTTCCGAGACCACCGAATGCTTAGAAGAATCAAAGATGTTACTTATATGCTCCTTTAGTCTAGTACGTAATTTTCTTTTGGTTTGCCCAACGTATGAGGCTTCACAATCTTTACAATTAATTTTGTAGACGACATTATTATTGTTACTATGCGCATTTTTGTCCTTATGGACTCTGATGAATTTGTTAAGATTATTGAGACAACGGTACCCTACTCTAAAATCTGATTTCTTAATTGTCGATGCCATTGTTTCCGAGATGTTATTAATATAAGGAATGACAAAAAATTTTTTGTCATTTCCCTCTATAATTTCCTTTTTTCCATTGTTGTTAAACTTAAAATTATTTACTACTTTTATTCTCTTATTGATTTCTTTAAAAATTAAATAAATAGGGTAACCGTGTCAAATTAAAAAAAATTTTTTCTAAGAATTAATAAAAATTTTTTGTGCTTGTTACACAGGGCCTAATAATATTTAATAATTTATCATAAAAAACAAAATTTAAATAATAAAAAACATGAAAAATAAAGAAAAATCTTTAAAAAACTAACATATGTAGATATATATATTTTATAAATTAAACTTTGGCTCGTATACAATTAAAATATGTGATATAATAAAAGGCCAACTTAACGAGCTTATATGCTATTAATTGAAAAATTTATTTATTAATTTATAAATTCATAGCGATACCTTATATTGAAAGAATCTCGGAACTAGTAGCATCAGAATTAAAGAAATCAAATATAACAGTAGGATACAGATGTCTAAAGAAATTAAACAGAGTCATAAAAACGCAAAAAGACAGAGATAAGCTCCAAAATAATTCAGGGGTCATATATAAGATTTCATGTAATAATTGTGATGCTACATATGTAGGACAGACGAAAAGACAATTAGGTACAAGAGTAAATGAACATAAAAATAATATTAGATTAGATTCAGCAAGACACTCGGTGGTTTCTGATCATATTGTAAAATTTACACACAATTTCAATTGGAACGACACAAAAATTCTAGATTATGAAAAGAATTATTATAAAAAGTTGATATCAGAAATGATATATATTAAAGAAGAAAACAACAGTATCAACCTAAAAAAGGACACCGAGCGTCTTGACGGTTCTTATTATGATATTCTAAAAAAATTGTCTACGTCATCTTAAAAATTGGGTATATATACAGCGCGCCGACATTGTAAGATACAGATATCGATTTGTTTTTTAAAAAAGTACACATTGTGACTATGTTAAGTAAAAAGAAATAATTTTTTAAAAAAGTGTTATGTTCGTTGACAAAAAAGTAAGTTAATACTATTTATTAAAAGTCTAAATGTAATATTTGAGCGGATATATTAATTTGTTCACAGTGGTTACATAATATAACAGCATCTGACGCTCTAACTCATGCCAACATACATGAATTTGTACTGCGTTCGTCATATAATCTTATAATTGTTGTATTTATTTATGATGTCGAAATGACTAAATTAATTTTTTAACATATTATTAGGATATTGAGAAAGACTGTCGTACAGTCGAAACGTTTATCTGAACTTTTGTATAGTATGAAGTAAATTAATAAATAAATTTTTCAATTAATAGCATATAAGCTCGTTAAGTTGGCCTTTTATTATATCACATATTTTAACATATGTAGATTATTAGTTCAAATTTAAAAGTATTAATAGTATAAAAAAATAATTTCGCAACTCTAAATAAATAAAAACATAAAAGCTTTAACATACTAAAAACGAAAGTATATTAAGAATAAATAAGCTATAAGAGCCAAACGTGGATGACGTTAATTACACCGAGAATTAATTTTTTGCTGTAACTAAATAATATGCGTCAACACAAATATTTTCTTAGCATACTACTAAGATTTATTTCAGGAAATGTATCTCAATCCGAAATTACTACCCGGGAAAAAGAATTAGCTACCATTGCTAAATTTTAGCTGTCCATATATAACAACCTGAATTTTAGTTATCGTGCCTAAATTGTAGCTGTGGTAATTAATATTTTTTAGCCATAGTTTAACGGAGAATGTTATATTTAAAAAATATTAATCGCCATAGCTAAAATTTAAGCATGATAACTAAATTTCATGTGTAATATATGGACAGCTAAAATTTAGTTATGGTAGCTAATTATTTTCTGTGTAAATTCACTTATTTCTTCCTAACCCTTCTGTAGAAAAAAAGACGAGAATAATGTTGGTCCTCAAGTCGTTGAATAAAAAATTGAACCTGAGTCTTTTGTATTTATATTCGAATAATTGTTATTTACTCATCCTCATAAATCCGCAACTACATACCGAGTGCGCGCAGCGCGTAAGAAACAACTCAGTGAGAAATTCGTCGAATCAATGTCAAATTCGTCGAAACAATGACGATTCGATCAATCATTTCTCACTGGGAAGCGTCAGCTAACAATTTATAATCTATACAAATGATCAGTGCCGGAACGAGATATTTTCTCATCCGAGGCACTATTAGCAATTGACGCTTCCTTTCTCAACATACGCACAAACGCATGTCAAAATAACATAGGCTTGGTAGGTACTTGAACTGCTACATGTTAATATTATTTTTGCATTTTTATAAAAAAACTTTTTTTAAAAAAATTGTTCAATTTATTGTTCATTTCTATGCCCTCTCATGTCTTTCATCCGAGACGAGTGCTTCGCGCGATCTAGATTCGACTCTGCAAGAAACATTGAAGGGATATTGAATTGATTAATATATTTAAATCATTGAGAAGATTCTATGGTATTTAATAGCGGTTGGTCACCAGTCAAGAATAAAAGCCAATAGAGTGCAAACATCTATAAGAGGAGAAAACTTACTATGTTAAAAATATTATGTGTTTTACTAAAAGTATTTATGCTAATGAGGACGGCTCTCACGTCCTCTTCGAAAGATCAGGAAGATTGTATAACTCAGGTCAGTTTCCCGAAAATTCATTTTTTTATACACTCTGATCTATACTTAAAGTGTGCTTTACACGATGCTGCTTTTATTCGCTTTGAGCAATTTTCTTAATTTGTCAGCGAATTCGCTGATAAAAACTTTTTTCTAGATGCTTGTTTTTTATTTGCTAGCGTCTAAAATTGTGAAATCGCGGCGTGTAAAAAATTCATTACATGATGCTGCTTTTATTTGCTTTGAGCCAGCTTTTTAATTCGCCAGCGTATTCGCTGATAAAAACTTTATCTAGACCCACATTTTTTATTCGCTAGCGTCTAAAATTTTAAATTCGCGGCGTCTAATGTTCGCTGCGTCTGGCTGCGCTAAAGTTGAACATGTCCAACTTTAACGCTCTCGTCAAGCGAATAACTGGGCGACTTTAGCAGCAGCGACAAAAAACGCTCCATGTAAAGATAGTAGCGAATGAATAACCAGGCGAGTAGCGAATAATTCGGTATCCTACGCATGTGCAAAACAAATTTTTGCCAAAACGCTTGCACCTTTATAAGAGCATTCTTAAAGGGTGCTTTACACAATGCTGCTTTTGACGTTCGTCGCAACTTTTTTTATCGCAAGTTTTTCGCTCTTGCAAAACGAATTTCTGGCTGACAAAATCACTAGCGTTAAATCATTTACACGTTGCTGATAAAAAAAAAATTGCAAGCGTTTTGGCAAAAATTTGTCTGGCACATGCGCATGATACGGAATTATTGGTTATTCGCTTAGTTATTTATTCGCTATCATTTTTACATGAAACGTTTTTTGATGCTGCTGCTAAAGTCGCTCAGTTATTCTCTTAACGAGAGCCTTAAAGTTGGACATGTTCAACTTTAGCGCAGCAAGACAGAACAAATATTAGATCCCACGAATAAATTAAATGTTATATACACTTCAGACAATAGATTGTTTGTGATATTAATATTTTATACTCTGTTACTATTTATGAAAAATTAATGATATAATAAAAGTAAAGTTTAATTTTACGTTTCATATATTTAAAGATTGATGTTATTTTGTTACACATTTAAATTTAATTGTGATGAATATTTAAACTTAAACGTAACATATGTTGATATTATTGTCTTGTTTATGAAAAAGTATTTTTAATATTAATAATTTTGTTATTCATTCCATCCCACAGCACAAAACTCAACAGAAATGTTGCAGAAACGTTTCAACGTTTCAAGTAACACTGAAACATCATTATAACATTTAAGAAACATAACATAGAAAACGTAACATTTGAAACGTTTATACAATCTTTCATAAACATATTTGTGTAAAAATAGCGGACATTTTCACATGTTTAAGACGTATATAAAATATTTTTGAATAAATTCTGCGAAAGTCTCTGAAATGTTTTGTGCTGTATGAGATTCATCTTCTGTTTACATGACAAACATACGTATGTATATCATATTTTTATGCACAGATACATTTTTACATTATTCTTTTGTGATTTCTAAAACTTTCGCTTTAAATATTTATATTTATTGATTTTTGTATAAAATTTTTAGTAAGTTATTTGTTATTTAAAGTAATCAATATAGAAAATTAGAATTTTTTAGTAAAAATATATTGCATGCGTACAAAACTACTGAATGTTGAAATAGAAAATCGGTAAAATGAAATTCCATACAATAAATTGCGTTCTCAATCAAACAGTTTCGAAGCCAATAATATACACAACAGCTATTATTCTTTATATGTTCCAATTAATATACAATTTATCATTTAAAGTATATATATTTACGTAAACATATGTACATAAACTCATATAAAAACCCAATTATTAGACAAAACTATTTTAACAATTAAAAAGAACCAGGCTTGTAAGACAAACTGTTATAAATTCTTTATAATTTTTATTAATCTAATCTTGCGTTCCTTTAGCAATTTTTTCTTTAATGCAAGAAAAATCTTTGATACTTAAAAGGATATTTTGATCAGAAATACAATAAAAACAGTTTCTTTAAACGGTGTTTAACACAGTATTTTATATATTATACAGTATTTTATATATTGCACAGTAGTGTATATCTACATATGTATCTAGTTGGATATTTTATAATAATTTAATTTACCTTTATACATGTCATTTCTGCAATTATAAAAAAATCGAAAACCGTCATCTCGAAAGAAAAGCAAAGGTTATTTCTACTTGTAATAAAGTTGAACATTGATTTGAAAGTTGGGACATTTATCACATATATATTAATTTACCTATTTGGAATTTTGCATTTATTACTACAATGACTTATTTATTAAATTATTTGCGAAATAAGTTTTAATCTAATCTCACATTATGTACTGTTTATCATGTAATTCAATGGAATAGTAGATTTTTATAAGTTATATGATGCATATTTATTACTAGGATAACCCATCCTTCAGATTCATCGATGTCCATGAGTACGTGTCATCAAATATCGAATCTGTTCAGTATTATTTTGAAAACGACACTATGAGAAAAAGAAATGAAGTCGGTAAGAGTATATTTGTAAAGTATAAGTATTTTTAAAGGCTCCCATTTGTAAATATTTCAAAATCTAATAAGTTTCAAAAAATATGCATATAAATGTATATAAAATGTTGTGTTGTGTATGTACATTTATTTCAAATCATTATAATTTATTATCAAATAATATAACCTAAGCATGCGTTAAAATATAAGTACTAATTATTAACTTTTATCGCTTATATTTGTTTAATATTTTTCTCTGAATAACGATTCATGAAAACAATAACGAGGCGACGTTTATACTTACAAAAAATGTTATAATGAGACATATAAATACAACTGAATAAATTAAAATTTGTAGTTTTTGAAGGAAAGATTATATTTTACATTCCGCATATGATTATGATTTTTACAACGTTACCATAATATGCGGTACATATTTAATTCCTTTTTTGACAGACCTCATATGTCAATATATATATATTGATATATGTGGCCTGTCAAAAAGGAATTAAATTAAATATGTACCGCATATTATGGTAACATTGTAAAAATTATATATATATATATATATATATATATATATATGGGGTATTCTTTCTCAAAACGGTTACTCCCCTGCACATTTTATTTTTTGAGATAAATAGCTTTTAAAGTGCTTAAAATTTGCGTTAAACTTACTTTTAAATGCCGTGTGGCAAATGCGGAACTGCAAGACTAAAAATGGCGGGCAAAGCAAAAAAAGGAAAATTGAGCTTTTGCAAAAATTGACTATTTTAGGTTTCGCGAAGTTGGAATTGATTTGTTTACCAAATGATACTTTATCATAAGAAATTAATCACAATTAATTTTTAAGTTGAATCGACAATGGGTTTCAGAGATATGAGAGCGATCGAAGTAGTCAGAATTATAAATTTTAACTAATTTGATCGCCTATGATTACGAGCTGATTACGAGTTGAATACAAGCTATTTTTATCTAGTAGTTATCCTAACTACTGTTTGCACTACATTAAAATCTCTTTACATCGATTTTCGATGAATCAGAATAATCCCAGTGGAGCGGTTGCATAAAGCTGCGGGCGTAATGTTTTACCTTTTACGACGGCCGCGACAAAATAATATACGCATTTACATGTGTCATGACCCACAGGCATTCAAAAGTACAAGGGACAACGAAAATTTCAGCACTTGAAAATTTATTTATCTCAAGAAATAAAATGTGCAAGGAGGGTGGCCTTTTTCACAAAGAACGCCTCATGGGAAGCGTTTTAATCATAGGCGATCAAATAATCAAAATTTATAATTTTGACTACTTTGATCGCTTATATCTCTGAAACCAATTGTTGGCTCAACTTAAAAATTAATTGTGATTGATTTTTAAACATAAAGTATCATTTGGTAAACAAATCAATTCCAAATTCGAGATACCCAAAATAGTCAATTTTTGCGAAAGCTCAATTCTCCGTTTATTGTTTTGTTCGCCATTTTGAGTCTTGCAGTTCCGAATTTGCCATACGGCATTTAAAAGTAGAAGGCTTAATGAAAATTTTATACACTTAAAAAGTTATTTATCTCAAGAAATAAATTGTGCAGGGGAGTGGCCGTTTTGAGAAAGAATGCCCCATATATATATATATATATATATATATATGTATGTATATATATGCATGATTTTAAAAACTAGAACGATTTACATACATACTGGACCTTTGCATATAATTTAGTATGAATTTTGCTATAAGGAGAAACTACACCATCATCAGGAAGCATTCCAAGCGAGCCAACATTTCCTAGAGCATTCGTGGAATTTAACGACAGATTAAATCAGAAAGACATTTTTGTGACATTTAGGTAAATAATAACTCTCAAGGTAAATAATGAATATTTGCTTTCTTAAATCTGGTACTTCTCATTGTTTTATTGTATATAAAATACAATGTGTATATACAGTGTATATATAAGTATTTCTCAAGTAGTGTTCAAAATTTGAGAAATATATTCCTTATGCTTATAGAGAAAATAAAAAGGTATACATATAAAGATAAATCCGAAAAAGATTAGTTTTTTAGTTACTTAGATTCATATATGTAATACAAAATTTTTGTCCCATTTCTCCTCTTGCAATTAGAGGAAATGTTCAAAATGTCCACCTCTTGTGTAAACATAGGCCAGCGAATTTGAAAAACATCGTTGATATCTTTAACCGAAGATACCTAAGACGAAAAATGAGACAAAAATTATTTGTTACAAGAATCTTAAAATTCAAAAACTAATCATTTCCGGACCTTAAACGGAACAAAAACAAATCATTTCCGGACCTATGGGTGTATAACATATTTTTTCTTCTTTATAAGCATGCGAAATCCATTCCTGAAATTTTGTCCACCATATATGATATACCCTGTATATGGAGAGTGTTACCAAAAGAATCAGAAAAGTGAAATATCCCGAAAATATATATTATCAGTTTGATTTTAGATAGCGTTTTAAGATCATATCAAGGTCAACCCGATTTTTTAAAATGAAACTTATCTATATGTCACGTGTAATAGATAATTATATGTAAATAAATTTCAGGAATTGTTAAAAATATAAAGATAAAATATATTTATATCTTTTATAGATGGAACGAACCTAAATTTACAAATGGAGTGATACAAAAATATACAGTTCAATATTGGTTTTTTGAGAATCAAATAATTCATAGAACAGTTGTTATAATCTCAAATTTTACGATATTGCAACATAAAGTGTACAATTTAAAACCTGATAGAGTGTATTATTTCGAAGTACAAGCGCATAACAAATTTGGTGCTGGCTCTTACACTAAGTTTATCAACGTGTCGACCACATATGAGAATCCAGTACCTTTATTACTCGTCAAGGAGAAAGATAAAGTTTATGTATTGGATAAAGATTTACAGATCGGCTTTGAACGTGATATATATATATACTGTACTGAATACGTTTACTCAGCATTGGAACATAAGATTTATGGGATTACTTACAAATCAGAGTTAATAACATTGCAATTTAATCCAAATGCAATCGAAACAAATCAAAATTATACAATAATAGCAGAAATCAGGTACAATGCATATTCTCTGTGCATTGATTGGATTGGTGGCAGTCTTTATTGGTTAGAAGAAACTATTGACCATATTTACATTATGAAACTGGACTTAATATTACTACAACAAAAAGGCATCAAAACATACGAAAAAATCGCACTGGCTGCAAAGCATACTTTATTTTTAAGAGCATTGCCATATAATAGGTACATTAAATTTAAGTAATCTAACAAATTGAACAATATATTGTGTTTTTTTTAATTAAAGATTTGTGTTGTTCTATAACTTGTCAATTTAATATGCAGATTTTGTATTAAAGATCCATAAGTAATGGAATCATAAATTTACATAAAAACGTATATAATATAAATAATCATATATTAGTTTGTGATAGATAATTATAATAATGTTTCAATAAAAGTGAGCATTATAAATATTTTTCAGACATTTATATTGGATAGAAGATTCTTCAATAGTGCAAACGGATTTCAATGGTAGAAACAAATTATATATGGCAAACAATAAATGCTTTTGCCTCAAGACATTTCTAGGATTGCTACAATATGAGTACACTCTCATGACGATTGATACAACGAATATTGACGAGCCGCTAATATATTGGATAATAAACAATGAATATTTAATCGTAACGGATATTAATGGTTGTAATTGCAATATGATTTTAAAATTTCCAAATCAATCAATTTATCGTTTTGATGATATAGTAATTGATAGTATAAATATTTACTTGATTTCTTATGGATACTATGAAATATATATTTTAAGAAAGGGGAATGCTCTTCACCAAAGCAAAAAAAATTTATTTGAATGTTTAAAAAAAATCCATTTTGAAGACGGCTTTTTTGACTTCATAGCTCTTGATAAAACTTTACAATCATATCCCCCGAAGAAATGTCTAATATCTACGAAAAATTATCGTGTTGAAGAAATGTTAATAACTGCAAACAGCATTAAGGTGAACCTTCCGGAGCCGAATCCCAATGACGAATGTAAAAAGTACAATTTTACTTTTATATATAACATCTCTGTGAGTTATTTAAAATGTTTAGACAATAATCTTGACAAATTCGAGGAATTTTATGTCCAAACGTACGAACGGCAGTACGAATTCCAAAATTTGACGCAGTTGACAGAATACACGTTAAAGCTGGCATTGAGCAATTTTTACGTCCACAAGTTATCGATGGATTTGCAATTCGGCCCAGATGTAAAACTGATAACTACGGGCAAGCTCTATGCACCGGATGATGTAGTAGTTCAAGTTGTAATGCCAAATCTGGCGATAATTGATTGGATGCCACCGAAAAAATTAGGTTGCGTGGCAGTGAATTATGAGGTGAAATGGATGCAATATTCAAATAGCACTCAAGAAAATCAAAATTTGTTTCGCTTCATAAAAGCCTATAAACTAGAACGCACGACAAATGGCAAGTTTTTCGCGGTAATTCCGTCACTGGTACCAAAGCAAAAATACGAGATATACGTGAGTGTGTATTCAATCATTCGCACAGATGTCGTCACTGACAGTGTAATAAAAACAATCTACATATCCGAACCGAATAATTTAAGTTTGAATGAGGTCGGTACAAAGAGTATGAATATCTCGTGGATTCCAAGCGTTAATCTAACAATTCCTATAGAATTTCTTATATTGGAATACAAAAATGTTGCGTCGCGGAAGTGGAGATGGACATTTGCAAATTATATTGAAGTGAATAACTACAAAATAACATATTACGTAGAAAATTTATTGCCGAAAACTTTATACAAATTTCGTTTGAAATTGAAGTATACTGAGTATAGAGAAGATTTCATATGGCCGTCTGATGGAGAAGAATTTATTTTTGAAACGCTCGGTAAGCAAATGAAGACGTTATGAAAACATGGGTTTACTTTAAGATTGTTTTAAAAATTTTTTCGCATTAGAAATTGAATAATGAAGTTTTAAATGAAATGTCTTAATAATAATTTGAGAAATATGTGCATGAAGAATCGCCAGATAGAAATAAAAATAATATAATGAACACCCGACCAAACTGGCAAAATTTTATTAATTCACATTACAACGTTTCAACCATGATTTAAGTCCTCAGCAAGTGATTTGCGAAATGTAGTTTTAATTTTAAGAAGTAAGCGAGTGAGTACATTGTGTCACGCTGACATCATGTCCTTGACATTACTTGGCTTACTTCCTAAAATTTTAACTACATTTCGCAAATCACTTGCTAAGGATTTAAATCATGGTCGAAACGTTGTGAAGTGAATTAATAAAACTTTGCCAGTTTGGTCGAGAGAAGAGTGTTTATCATTTTATTTTTTTGAAATATGTGTCGATTAACTGGCATTTATTAATTTTATTACGTTTCAACCTCTCCTTGGTGTTCATTTCAAGTAATGTAGTTCTTAGATATTATGATAAAATATTTTAAATAAAAAGTCCAATAAAACGAAGAATTGTACTTTTGTGTAACAAAGGTGATGCAAGAAAGATTTCTAGCGCAACTGGGACAGCTATGCAATATTATCTGCCATTAATATTATGTCTTATTGTAATCATTGTAATATACAATGTTTACTACTTTTATTGTAGTAAGTATATTTAATATAAATTTTAGATTTTTATTATAAATTGTTTAGATTTGGTATATAGATATACGAACATATAAAATCTTAAAAAGAATTAAGATATTGCAATGCGGAGCATTATGTTGTGTATTAAAAGTTTTTTTATATGACAGCATACAGGCAACGCAAAAGAAGTAACAAAATAGTTTCGCCTCCAATAATGATGAATACGGAATTAGTACCTTTAAATGAAATACCTTTCGGGTACACTCAACTAAATTTGCTGAACCCTCCTAGATTGCAATATAATTCAGACGAATTTGCGTTGACCATAATCGAAAAAAATCAAATTATCCAAACAAAGTTTTTAGGTAGCGGCGCATTTGGTAGTGTAGGTATCAATTTCTTATTACTTAAGTATATTTTTAAACATATTTTTTATTTCTTAATCGTCTAAATTGATGGTCAAACATATTTTTACATAAAAGTAATTGTTAAAACTAAAATTTCTCTGAAAAAAAGTCAAATAGGATAAACATTTTTAGCATACATTTTATCGATTTGTCTGTTAATTATGTAATATTTCACAGGTATATCAAGGAATCATCAAAGATTTTGAAGGGTTGGACACAACACCAGTTGCGATAAAAATGCTGAAAAGACAAGCTTCTTCGAAAGAAAAAAAAGAATTCTTGAAAGAGGCTAAACTTATGAGCCATTTTCGACATAAAAATGTGCTAAGAATATTAGGCATTTGTTTGGACACGAATTCACCGTTACTTATATTGGAATTAATAGAACCTGGTGACTTATTGAATTATTTAAGAAATAATGGAACATTGCAATCGTCAGATTCGTGCGCGTTACGTCTGAAAGACTTGCTCGCCATGTGCGAAGATGTTGCTCGAGGCTGTTGTTACTTAGAAAGGCAGCAATTTGTGCATAAAGATCTCGCGTGTCGAAATTGCTTAATATCCGTAAGAAATCATGAAAACCGTATTGTGAAAATCGGCGACTTTGGACTAGCTAGAGATATTTACAAGGATCACTATTACCGTATGGTAAATACAATTATTTGAGAGAGCTAAAACTTTTTTTCTATTTTTTCATAATAATACAATTTAAGTTGATTATAACGGTAAAAATAAATTTTTTTTATTTGTATACTTATGAAGAAGGGAAAATGAGAGTTGATTGTATGCGCATAACGCTTCTTTCTAAATTTCTAAAGGAAGTTCGATAAAAATAACTTAATTGTGTTATATAATTGTGTTTTAGAAAGGAGACCACCCGCTTCCTGTTCGCTGGATGGCACCGGAATCTTTAATGTTTGGAATATTTACTTCACAAAGCGATGTTTGGGCTTTCGGAGTACTAATGTGGGAAATTATGTCATTGGGTGAACATCCTTATCCTGGCAAAAATTATTCCGAAGTTATAGAATATGTGCGTGAGGGAGGCAAACTGCCAAAACCTCTCAACTGTCCACCGATGTTGTATCAGTTGATGCTACATTGTTGGAAATCTGTAATCGGTAGACCAAACTTTACAAATTGTGTCAAAAATATCAAAACCTTAAGAAATAACGTAGAAGATTCGATACTTGTAATTAGTTCATTGGATATTTTTGGACATAGAGAGACGAATCATTCGTAATTCTTTTTATGTGTATATATTTTTGTATAGAGTAATGAATTTTTGCGATTCTAGATAATATCTATTAAGAAATATTGCTCTTATTTACTTTTACTCACATTTTATAATACAATTAACGTTACATTTAATCATTTTTTTATTAATATTACAATTCAAGTTATAACCTTATTTACAATATGTAGAAATTTTATTATATTTAATATATTTTTTAACTCACAGTTATATATATATATATATATATATACAATATTGCAATCAGGTGGCATTTAAAATATAATTGTAATTATTATAATTAATTTACGAAAAAAATGTTATTTACAAATTAAATGTCAGAGATGTATACTGATAATATAAATTTTCTTTTCAACTATGACTTAATTATCTATACATTATTTTTTCTTAACAATTGATGCATTTATTTATTATTTCTTTTTTGTTTATATTAATAATTTACCATGTGCGCATTTTACATAAAGAATTCAGCAATTCGACTAAATTTCTTAGATTTGATTAGTTTTTGGTATTACATTCCGTTGCAGTTAACATAAAAAATGTATTTATATTTACAATCTTTATACGGAGAAAATAAAGAAAATACGGAAAATATATTCAATATTTGTATATAAGGTTCGAATATAGATAAATCTTTACAAAGTAGATAATCATTTATTATATGTATAATTTTTTGAAGCTACTTTAATTTGTCGAATTTTAATTATATTATTTGTCGCATATATAAATATATACTGTCAGTGTTTGTCGCATTTAAATTAAAAATTGCGACAAATATTGTTTCCATGTAGTTAAAGCAATAAATAAATTGACAAGTTAAACTTGTAAATATTCGATCAACGTTTTGTATAATGTCAATCTCTAAATAATAGCAAGATAATTTTAATGATACTGCAAACGTATTGTAAAAAGATAAGTGAGTTTACTACATCGGGAAAATAAAATATATTGTCTATATTATTCATGATAAATTTTCATGCAACAAATATAAAGAAAAAATCTTTCACTGGTGGATAGCTTGGATCTTTCTAAGTAACGTAAACTACATGCAATCGTATTACAAACTTCTAAAAATGTGCGCGTATTATACAAAAAAAATTTTACGTATTATATTTTTCCAACAATTTTATAATTTAACGTTGTACCGTAAATAATTCATACTATATTCATACAAATGTAATGGTGAAAATTTTATCAAAATTGGTCGTGTAGGTTTTACGTTAAATTATTATATTATTGGAAAATATAAAACGTAAACAACCCATTTTTTTATGACGCGTACATTTTTAGAAGTTGCAAGACAATTGTACGCATAGCTATGTTACTCAGGAGGATATACACCAGTAAGACATTTATTAATTTCTCAAATTATCCCAAACAATAAAACAAACAAATTTTACCTCTTTATATGTATTTTGGGCGAGTGTGTAGCTTAGTTCGTTAATTATTGTTTTATCAATATCGCAAATCGGGAGAGGATCGTTAAGACGGAATAGTTATTAGGTGTTATAATTATATTGTCTTTTACTGCGTTTATTCGGATTATCAAATACAGACTTTAACTCTCCACCGAGGAAAACCGTGTATCGCGAGCGCGAGTCAAAATCTACCTGCCCTTCGAGGCCGCGTATTGTCTTGCTTCTCTCGATTTTTCCACGACCTTATTTTTATTTTTAGGTGATTAGCCTATCTATTATTATGAAGAACTTTCGCTTTTTATTCTGTTCAAAAATCATAATCTACCTTCGTCATGCTAGACGCTTATTTATTTATTTATTATTTTGTGTCACCAGTCGCGATATCCTTAACACTCGTCGCTTGTCATATATTTTTATTTCGTGTAAATGTTATATTATATGTACTTTAATATGTTTGTGGCATTTATCGCCACAGTATATTAGGCTAGATATAGATAGAAGTATAGATAAGTAAGTGTAGGACTTTGGCTTGAAATCTACTCGTCCCCTTGCCACGTAAAAATATAAAATTATGAAGCAAATCATAAAATAAAATGAAAAAAACACATAAAAAACAAAACTTAAATATTAAAAAACATTAAAAATAAAGAAAAATTTTTAAAAAACTAACATATGTAGATTATTAGTTCAAATTTAAAAGTATTAATAGTATAAATATAAATATTGCAACTCTAAATAAATAAAAACGTACAAGCTTTAACATACTAAAAACGAAAGTATATTAAGAATAAATAAGCTATAAGAGCCAAACGTGGATGACGTTAATTACACCAAGAATTAATTTTTCGCTGTAACTAAATAATATGCGCCAACACAAATATTTTCTTAGCATACTACTAAGATTTATTTCAGGAAATGTATCTCAATCCGAAATTACTACACGGAAAAAAAGAATTAGCTACCATTGCTAAATTTTAGCTGTCCATATATAACAATCTGAATTTTAGTTATCGTGCCTAATTTTTAGCTATGGTAACTAATATTTTTTAGCCATAGTTTAACGGAGAATGTTATAACTAAAAAATACTAATTGTCATAGCTAAAATTTAAGCATGATAACTAAATTTCATGTGTAATATATAGACAGCTAAAATTTAGCTATGATAGCTAATTTTTTTCCGTGTAAATTTGCTTAATTCTTCCTAACCCTTCTGTAGAAAAAAAGACGAGAATAATGTTGGTCCGCAAGTCGTTGAATCAAAAACTGAACCCGAGTCTTTCGAATTTAAATTCGAATAATTGTTATTTACTCATCCTCATAAATTTGCAACTACATACCGAGTGCGCGCAGCGCGTAAGAAACAACTCAGTGAGAAATTCGTCGAATCAATGTCAAATTTGTCGAATCAATGACGATTCGATCAATCATTTCTCACTGGGAAGCGTCAGCTAACAATTTATAATCTATACAAATGATCAGTGCCGGATCGAGATATTTTCTCATCCGAGGCACTATTAGCAATTGACGCTTCCTTTCTCAACATACGCACAAACGCCTGTCAAAATAACATACGCTTGGTAGGTACTTGAACTGCTACATGTTAATATCATTTTCGCATTTTTATAAAAAAACTTTTTTTAAAAAAATTGTTCAATTTATTGTTCATTTCTATGCTCTCTCATGTCTTTCATCCGAGACGAGTGCTTAGCTCGCTCTAGATCCGACTCTGCGAGAAACATTGAAGGGATATTGATTTGATTAATATATTTAAATCATTGAGAAGGTTCTATGGTATTTAATAGCGGTTGGTCACCAGTCAAGAATAAAAGCTAATCGAGTGCAAACATCTATAAGAGGAGAAAACTTACTATGGTAAAAACGATAAAAATATTATGTGTTTTACTAAAAGTATTTATGCTAATGAGGACGGCTCTCACGTCCTATTCGAAGGATCAGGAAGATTGTATAACTCAGGTCAGTTTCCCGAAAATTTATTTTTTTATACACTTTGATCTACACTTAAAGTGTGCTTTACACGACGCTGCTTTTATTCGCTTGGAGCAAATTTTTTAATTTGTCAGCGAATTCGCTGATAAAAACTTTTTTCTAGATGCTCGTTTTTTATTCGCTAGCGTCTAAAATTGTGAAATCGCGGCATGTAAAGAGTGCATTACACGATGCTGCTTTTATTTGTTTTAAGTCAGCTTCTTAATTCGCCAGCGTATTCGCTGATAAAAACTTTTTCTAGACCCACATTTTTTTATTCGCTAGCGTCTAAAATTTCGAATTCGCGGCGTCTAATGTTCGCTGCGTCTGGCTGCGCTAAAGTTGAAAATGTCCAACTTTAACGCTCTCGTCAAGCGAATAACTGGGCGACTTTAGCAGCAGCGACATAAAACGCTCCATGTAAAGATAGTAGCGAATGAATAACCAGGCGAGTAGCGAATAATTCGGTATCCTACGCATGTGCAAAACAAATTTTTGCCAAAACGCTTGCCCCTTTATAAGAGCATTCTTAAAGGGTGCTTTACACGATGCTGCTTTTGACGTTTGTCGCAACTTTTTTTATCGCAAGTTTTTCGCTTTTGCAAAACGAATTTCTGGCTGACAAAATCGCTAGCGTTAAATCATTTACACGTTGCTGATAAAAAAAAAGTTGCAAGCGTTTTGGCAAAAATTTATCTAGCACATGCGCATACTGAATTATTGGTTATTCGCTTAGTTATTCATTCGCTACCATCTTTACATGGAACGTTTTTTGATGCTGCTGCTAAAGTCGCTCAGTTATTCTCTTATAACGAGAGCCTTAAAGTTGGACATGTTCAACTTTAGCGCAGCAAGACAGAACAAATATTAGATCCCGCGAATAGATTAAATGTTATATACACTTCAGACAATAGATTGTGTGTGATATTAATGATATAATAAAAGTAAAGTTTAATTTTACGTCATATATTTAAAGATTGATGTTATTTTGTTACACATTTAAATTTAATTGTGATGAATATTTAAACTTAAACGTAACATATGTTGATATAATTGTCTTGTTTATGAAAAAGTATTTTTAATATTAATGATTTTGTTATTCATTCCATCCCACAGCACAAAACTCAACAGAAATGTTGCAGAAACGTTTCAACGTTTCAAGTAACACTGAAACATCATTATAACATCTAAGAAACATAACATAGAAAACGTAACATTTGAAACGTTTATACAATCTTTTATAAACATATTTGTGTAAAAATAGCGGACATTTTCACATGTTTAAGACGTATATAAAATATTTTTGAATAAATTCTGCGAAAGTCTCTGAAATGTTTTGTGCTGTATGAGATTCATCTTTTGTTTACATGACAAACATACGTATGTATATCATATTTTTATGCACAGATACATTTTCACATTATTCTTTTGTGATTTCTAAAACTTTCTTTAAATATTTATATTTATTGATTTTTGTATAAAATTTTTAGTAAGTTATTTGTTATTTAAAGTAATCAATATAGAAAATTAGAATTTTTTAGTAAAAATATATTGCATGCGTACAAAACTACTAAATGTTGAAATAGAAAATCGGTAAAATGAAATTCCATACAATAAATTGCGTTCTCAATCAAACAGTTTCGAAGCCAATAATATACACAACAGCTATTATTCTTTATATGTTCCAATTAATATACAATTTATCATTTAAAGTATATATATATACGTAAACATATGTACATAAACTCATATAAAAACCCAATTATTAGACAAAACTATTTTAACAATTA